TTCAAACATAGGTAAGGATTATTTATAAAATTATCTTCCTGTTAGTTAATTGTATTATGTAATCATTTATCTTTATTCATGTTTTAAAAGGAAATCCAAACGAGGAAATTCATGTGCAAGAAACTTTTGAGAAGAATAATTTGCGATTTTCTAATCTAAGGACAGAAGACGATTCTCACTTCTTTACTTATTTCACTGTGATTATTATGATGTGTATCATTGGGTATATAGGCTATTGCAATAAACAGAAGGTAAGGTCTAATTTATGTATAGTTATTTACTATTTCTATTTGCTTTTATATATACTTTACAAAGATAGCTTTTTGTGTTTCAGATATTTGCTATTGTATTGGAAGGTCGGAGATCAAAAAATAATCGTGGTAGACGGCGACCAAGCACAGCCAGTTATCGAAAACTGGATTGTACACTCGAAGAAGCCGTTACGTCGCAATGCAATGCTAATGTTACACATGTCATATATTAATGCGAGTAGAGTCTTACAAATTTTATAAGGACTGTATTATAGTATTGCAAGTGTAATATATTTTGTATTTAAGCATATATACCTCCAGCATAATGTCATTTGATTTCGGAAAAAATTTTATATTTTAGTAATAAATCAATTAATTAAAATAGTGAAATTTATGAATAATGCATAACGACGTTTGGTGATATAATATTAGAGTGCACATGATACTTTCAGTTCAAATTATATTGAATTAAATGTATGATTCATGAATTATAAAACTTTAATCTGTACTGTTAATTAATAGCGTACATTGTTGAAGAATTTACAAAATTTTCTCTCTCTTATTCAATTTTCTCTCTATTATTCATATATTTTGCAACAGAACTGGGTGTGAGTTATAATTTTGGTAATATTATAGTTGATGCCTACTATCTCTTACTGCTTGCATTTTTAACAACAATGATAATCATATGGAATGAATACTATTATTTAAAGAGCAAAAATAAGTTTTCAGTTTGCGTTAACTATAGAAATTAGCCAAAAGTTGCAGATCTAGAACGTCTAGTTTATAATTATAATTTTGTCAATCATGCAATGCGGCGTGTGGCAATTTTTATTTAGATTATTATATTTTTTAGTTATTAAGTAAATATTTTTGTTTCAACTACGAAAATAAGTTATATTATTTAATTTATTCCTTCAAAATTGTTCTACTTTATCATGAAACAAGTTTTGTTCGGCAATTTTGTTCGGTAAACTTGTACATTTTTATAATCTATAATATAATTTATAATATAACTTGTACTTTTTTTCACGCAATTATAATGAATTTAATATACTATAATACGAAATAAATGAATATTCATCTCTATTTAATGTTCACTTCTATCATCTATAGAGAAAAGTTGAGAGAATCGTTCACACATGCGTTTTAATTAACTTTGACTGTTTCATTAATCAAGCGTTCAATCATTGAAGCGTTATCGCGTATCGCAACAAAAGTAATAATATGAATGATAAAATAAAATTGAAAATTTTTACCGTGACTTTTTAATGATTTAGAAAGAAGTGTGATTGTCATGAACTATACTCCATGTAAAATACTTATGCTATGCGTTACTCACGTAACTTAATGACATTGAGTTTTAGGAATCTATTTGTGCGTCGTAAAAAATGTATTTGGATCTTTAAAACTTAAATTTACAAACATATAATATTTGAAACATTCGTTCCGAATGGCAAATTTTCTGTAAAATTTTTTAATGTGAACAGATGTTTTACGAAATAACAACTATATGTATTCAATTAATATTCGTCAAAACGAATAAGGTTTAGTGTTAAATTTACATTTATTTCATTACATTAACATGTTTGCTATATCAAGCTGTATTAAACTTATCTGCCTGCGCAATAAATACCATCCTTGGTATGATACTTTATCCAGTTCAAGTAATCCGTGTTCTTCACGTATACACCTGGGATGCCACGATTGGCACAGCCGATGCCCCAAGAGACTATACCTGTTAAAATGATGAAAAAGATGATCCCATAGTGAATACTTGAAGATACGATTACATGCTGTAATTGTATATTATAGGTGTGCATATCTTGCGGACTGATCTTTTTTATTAATAATTAATAAAGATTTGATTTTAAAAATACGATTAAAAAATTGTATATTCTCAAAAGTATATGCACATCTGAAAAGAACTTCTCATGTTACAATGTAATATTATAATCTGTGTATTAATGAAAAATGTATTAAGTTTTATATAAAATATTGATAACATTCTTACCAATTACTTCATACTTTCCATCCGTCCTTTCATATAGAAGAGGTCCGCCGCTGTCACCCTGAAACGTTCATATTATTAATATCATTCAAATGCAGCAGTTGTCGAGAAGAGACAACAGATCTATTTAATCTTTAGTTTTATTATTAATTTATTATTTTTTTAATTGCTTACAGATTACTGGGTAATCTAAGTGTATAGTAAAACGAAATTTAAAAAATATCTTTAAGGTATGTAATAAAAGAATAAGGAGCGTACAATATTAGCTTAATCTCAAAGTACATTAAAAAATTAAACTAATTATGACGTAACATAATACCTGACATGCATCAATGTCATCCCTGTAAGCACACAGCATCGATTCTGTAAGATGATCTCCGAATGAAGTATTCCTACATGCTGCCCAAGACATCACTTTTAGGGTAGCTTGACGCAGAAATTTTGAGGCACCTCCTGAGGTGGTGACACGTCCCCATCCAGTGACTTTGACATTGTGCTCCGTATAATCAGTGCCTACCATTGAAAATTTGTTTGTATATTTTTTACATCTGTCAGAAATACTAATAGGGACATAAAAAAAGATACAAATAAAAATCTTTAATTTATAAACATTCATTGAATATCTTAAATATTACAAAAAGGTTATATAGAAAGCTGACCTTTATGCGGCAAGCATGCAGGTCTCACATTTTCATCGAATGTAACTGGATCCTTTAATCGAATCAAGGCAATGTCGTTTGTGTCATGAAGGTAATCACTTTCAAAATCTTTGTGCAAGATTATTTTGTCTATAGAAGCTACATATCCCTCGTTTTTATTTTCGATGTCATGCATCCCCAAGCCGACTGAAATATCGGCGTGATTTGTCCTATGCAATTCGCAGAAGAAAAGAATCAAAATGTTTTGCAATCGTATAACGTATTACGTCTCATTACAAAATATATAATAATATATTTAAAAAAATACTATTCTATACATTTTTGCTTCATATTATAAATGTCCCGTAAATGCATTTATTATAGCTAAATAAATCATATTTTTCACAATATAATTACTGGTGCAATAATATCGCATATAGTTTTTTTCAAAATCTACATCAAATAAAAAAGTCTTTAAATTTTTTAAAAGAGAAAAAAATAGATAGAATACCATTTAACACAATGTCCCGCCGTTAGTACATATTGACTATTGATCAATGTGCCTCCGCAATGAAGGTTTCCTTTATTAAATAACGCAATGACCCAAGGAAATATGTGCGGAATAGTTATTTTTCCGCCGACAATACGATTCGATATCCCTCCTGATACTCCACATTCTGTTATAAAAAAATAAAATATAATTAAATTAATTGAAATTATATACATATATAGATTATAAAAATTTATTTTTGAGAAATAATAATAATACAATGTTATACTATATTGCATACTTTTTTTGTCAATTTTCTGAATTTAAAGTTGATATTTGCTTAATAAACTTGATTAAACTCTTTATCTTTTTCTTTCAATTTCTTTATTTTATAATTCTGTGACACATGTTCTATATACGATTTTTTTGCTCATATCATTATTCTAGCAAGACTACTACTATTAATATGGAATTAATCGAATTGAAGGAACATGCTAAATAATGTAACGAGATATTCCAGAATAAGAGCAATTTAATGTTAGTGCCTATCCGCTTTCCGTGCGAATAAACTTCGTCGAGCGTATATGCGTGTGCTACTTGCGTAATTTTGGTTCGATCGTTACCGCAATCCGGATTTATTTGTAGATATATCTCATGATGCCTCGCGCGTGCCGCCTGAAAATGAGCACAACGTAATTATTCGGTGAATCACAAGGATTATTAGCCGCTCTTCATTTCGACTTGTTCTCGTGATAATTTTATTTAATTACTCTTTCAACGAACGTCTAGGATCAGGAGGATTCCAATTGCGGCCGTCAAAATCAAGTCAAACTTCATGTTGCGCGACTCTGCGAGATTTCATCTATTGAAATCGGCACGTATCGTCTACTGAACGCGATATAGAGAACGCTCTGTTCTATATTGAGCTACGAATAACAACGATAACTAATTTCTATGCTGCACCATCACCCACCGTATCGTATCGTTGAGGTTTTATATCGCGAGGGACGTGTACTGTAAATTACTATTCGTATTAACATTGGCATCAGATGGCAGATCCTAATAAATAATCGACACAATTGGGCGTATCACGAAATGTAACTTTCATAATTTAAACTAATTGCAGAACTAAAATATTAGATATAAATTTATATATATCAATACAATCCTTTTATTAGTATTTATCAATAATATATTTCAAAAATTAATCAATGCTTGGAGTCTTATTTAAAGGCTGAATTTTATTATGTTTCGATTTTCACATAAAAAATGTATGTCAGGATTTGCGGATTTTACGGATCGCCAGACTTTCTTATCTCAAGAAACGTTATATATTTCTTTTAGAAAAGAGTTAGAATGTTATATAGTCGATAAATTTTTATATTATTTTCTATAGCAACTGTGTATGATCAGAGGCATAAAATATATGAAAAAAAAGAAGCAAGATTGGAAAGATTTTCCTTTTTTTGTAAAATTTAAGTTCAGAGAAAACACAAATATATATGGAGGAACAATAATTTTACAAATAATCTCGCAAAATAACGTTGCGATAAAAGTTACAATTTTAACGGTATTATCGTTCACGTTTTAACGTGAGTTTTAGCCTTTAAAAGTTAAACAAACGTTATCGTCAAAGCACTATTTTCTTGTCTCGGCTTACAATACGGACGAATCTCAGCATAACTCCGCAAATACAATATCGTGGACGTTGCCGGTCAGATATAGTCAAGCATTATAGTTTACGAGTTATAGCAATGCGGTCAACGAGGTTCTAAGTTTATGTAGTGCAACTGATTGAGATTCGACGTACCGTACAAAAATTGTTGAAGCGTAGTGTTGAGAAATTCACAACAGGAATCAGGAAACAATTTTTTGGTCTGTATAGTTGTAAAAAAACACACATAAAATGATGTAAATTGTATTTATTTTTTTATTCTCTCTTGTAGACACATTTTGTAGATAATAATTATCTAATTATACGTATTATGTGATGATAGAGTATATAGTTAGTGCCAACAGTATTTGGAATCATGTTTAGTTATTCGTAAAATCCACGAAACCATTTGTGTGACGTCCGTATAGAAATCTGGATAATTAACATTGGCACATAATATTCCATTTGAAGTAATTCCTGCAAAATTTTATATAAATTTAAGATAAAAATTGTTAAACTACTAATTTTTATAACTCACCTATTAAGATGTATTTATAATTCTCGTCGATTATCTGAAGTGGACCACCGCTGTCACCCTAAATTAAATTTTGCAATATAATATTTTATTTAAATTATCTTTTTATTGTAATTTAACGTAATTAATGATATTAAAATTAAGCATTAAAAATTAAATAGATATTAAAATATATATAAAGTAAAAATGTAAGAATCGGTTAAATACCCTGCAAGTACCGCGCGGTGATGCTTTATATCCTGCACAAATTAAATTTCCGACGTTATTAGGACATTCTGATCGATTAAACAATGTTAAATCTACGATACGCAAACCGCATTCTTTATAAACTAAGGAATCATTTTCAGAGAGTCCCCAACCAAGTGCAGATACGGATTTTTTTCGAAATTTAGAGAAAACATCGAGTCCTGCACAAATAATAACAATTAATAAGCATTTTATTTAATTATAAATTTGTACTATAGATATATTTCGTATGTGACAAAATTAATAATTACCAATTTTTGGTAAACAAATTGGTTTGACAAATTTATTAAAAGTAATTCTCATAACTAATTTAATTAGCATAATATCGGCAAAGTTTGTTCGTCTATCATAACGTGGGTGTGGAAAAATTTCTTCAACAGAAAAGATTGTACTTCTTGCGTCCCATTTACATGCATCATGGGCGCCGACATATACTTTCAGATCATCTTTGCCAAAACTAAAATATAATGTATTTTGTGAATTTGGATAATACGGATGTCCAAAAATATTCACTTACAAATACATATTGTGTAAAAATTCTTACATAATATTTCATGCATATAAATTATGTATAGTATATATATATATACCCATGTGGGATACAATGAGCTGCTGTTATTACATAATGATCGTTTATAATTGACGCTCCGCAGATTAATTGTGATCTACTGACACTTATAATACCAGCCATCCAGGGAAACTCATTTTCGCGAACTTCTTGTCCTCCGATTATTCTGGACGACAAAAAATTTTTCTTTCCACATTCTAGAATAAATATAATTATTACTTCGTTAATAATTGTATAAATAATATTCTTACAACAATTAAATTACATTTTAATTTATATATCTTTATTATTCTTAGATTTTATTTTCTCATATGTATATAATATGAATTATATGATATTCTAAGTAATTTATTTATTTCACTCTGATTTTTTATAGATATATGACAATATTGATATTGAAATTTCTTATAAAAAATGATATATAACGATATAATTTTTAGTATAGCTTTTTATTAATACGTTTTCATTACATGTGTCCAATCATAAAATTATTCAGGATAAATCTTACCGCAATGTCTATGATCATGGCTTCTATATGACACATTCGTATTTCGATTAACTCGTTTATACCATAATACAGTGCTCCCATATTTAAATATAAAACACGACAAAATAATCAGTATAAAGCACTGCATGTATAATATTAAAACAAAGAGAATCGTCACTTCTACATTAGATGTGCTTCACTGAACTGACATGTCTTACATTTAAATACTGCAAAGAGTTTAATGTTTGATATTTCAATGTGTGCGAGAACACTGCGGACGTGGTCTAACCATGATTTAACCCGGTAATAATTTTTAGATAAGATATAAGATTATCCTGTTCAACTTTATGCTGTGAAACGTACCTATTATTTGCGAAACGCACAACTGTTTTAAAATTGATTAGGTAATATTTGACGCATTTTCAGCAAATAACATTTCATGCATTTTTATCAAAATTTATTTTTGAAAATTATTTTAAGTGTACTTTCTATAACATCGTATATCCAGCAAAAAGAACACCAATAAATAATATTGCATATATGTAATAATATTCTCGTAGAATAAGCCACTTGAAGGTTTGATTGTTATTATTTTGTACAATAACATGCATCCTTAGTTTGCTGTAATATCCAATCAAGACGCGGGCCCACTCTTGTAAAAACAGTTGGTCTGGAAGTATTGTCGCATTTATTTACACTCGGAATAATACCTGTAATTTATATAATAGAAAATTTATTAAAGAAATATATACGTATAATCACTAAGATTTATAAATTAAAGTTTGAATTCGGGCAAAATATATTTTTCTTAATTTATTATAGCTCATATTTTATAAGTATAATTATTAATAATTATTAAAATAAGTTTTATTAAGTTAATTTTTTGTTTGACAAATGATTGCACTTACCAACAAGATCATAAACACCAATGTATGATCGATATTGCAAAGAAGATCCGACATCATTCTATAAATATGCAACAACTAATTATTACATATGTAAATAAATAGTTTCTAAATAATCATTTGTATTATAAATTTACTAAAACATAATATGCGCTATATGCGCGCAATTTAGAGAGAATCTTAAAATTATCAAATATAATATTACAAAAATACAACTGATTAAAATAAAAGTTTAAATTTACGTTTTATCATATTTAATTTCAATAATCCTTACGTTAATAATTATATTTATATAATTATCGGTAAGATATTGGCAATAAAAGAAATTAATTAATTATTAAATTTATGTAAGAACTTAAAACATATTTATTTATAATAATCAACTTTTTAATATATTAGCTGATTAACATTCTAGATAATTTTTTTCATTTAAATATAAGATTTCAATGCATCGCAATAAAGAAAATGTAAATTCTAAAATTCTAAGCTTATCAAATGTTATGATAAAAAATTCTGAAGCAGAAAAACGAGTAAAATGTACATTTTAATATTTTAGACCATTTCTTTCTTTAAAATATAAGATTTCAATGCATCATAGAAATTATTCGCTATAAATTCAATTGCTATTTTATTTGTATTTAAATTCAAATATTTCAAAAATGTAATAATATATGTAATGTACTTACTTCGCATACTAAAGAATTTGTATTTACAATCCCAATACATCCGTAATCATCGTTAAAGTTCATTGCGTCAATTCCTGCTTTAATACATTCGTTATATCCTAAAATAGGAAGTCCTAATTTCCGTGGTCTACATGTTCTGATATCAACGTTATCTTGAGATTTGCTTGCAGTCCAACCTACCAAAGTTCCAACTTGTCCGAGGTAAGTTGATCCTGGAATTCAAAAAAGAATTAATGGTGAATTTTTGTCATATTTTATTTCTTAAATGTAAATAATTATGATTTTTTTTTTCTGTCGCTCTTCTTTATACAAAGCGTGAGAAAAACAAACCTGGATTGGGTAGGCATACTGGTGATATTCTCTTCTCAAATTTAGTTGGTCGACTCAAACGGATTAAAGCTAAATCATGAGTATCTGACTCTGGATTAAACTCTGGATGCAAAACTATAGATTCGACGCTGATATTCACTGACGAAATGTCCAATGAGCATCGATCGTATTCTCCCAAGGATACTTTTATTTCGTGTGCTGTTGCTCTATTGTAAAAAAAACAATTTTTTAAAATAAATTCTTCTAAAATTTTCTTCTAAAATTCTTCCTCTTCTTAGGTATTTAGCTGCTTATAACATTAGTTAATACTATTTGCATATCGTAGTTATTTATTATAATATTTAATAAAAAATAAAGACTTAATTTCTACTAACCCAATAAGCTGACTGGCCGCTGTTATTACATAACGATCATTTATCAACACTCCGCTAACAAGTGACTGAGATTTTACATGAATATTTGCAAGCCAGGGAAATTCATGCGATTCTGTATATTCACCGCCCAACAATCGCGCTGTTCTACGATTTGGTCGACCGCATACTACAAATATACGAAATATTAGTATATTTCACGATAAATATGTAATTTAAATTAAAAGAATTAATGCAACAAGAAAATGGTAAATAATTGAGTGTATTAATTACAAAGCTATTAACAAAGATATCTCTAATAAAATATTTATGACGACAGTATTACTAGAGTTCTAGCTTCTAATTATCGATCTAATAGATGCTGAAAAAATTTAGATTAATAAAAATGTTATTTATATCAAATGTAGAATTTTATACATTTTATATTAAATTTTTATTTATTAAATTTATGTCGCGCAGAACATTGTAATTAAAAATTATTATGGAAAGGTACTTACAGCAGGCACCGCAGGTACGGAATCTTCCAAAAACTAAATCCAAAACACCGCGTTCATGTCTTAATTTAACATGATCATTGATCTAGTCAACAGTACATTTACAAGTTAAAATATATTGATAAACTTTCTTTGATGTAATTATAATAATAAAAAATTTCTTAATCTTTTTTAGCCAAAAAAATACAAATATGTCAAAATTAAAATAAAAAGTTTGATAATATTGTCCCACATATCAAATATACACATAAGTGTAAAAAAAAAAACAGAATAAGAAGAGAGATAATAAGTTCAAAAATAAGTTACTAAAGTGAAAAAAAAGTGCATAGAGAATCTTACCGAAAGATCGTTGCAATAAGTTGCTCCGAAATTTACCACGACGATGCAAATCAAATACTTGATACAATCCTGCTTCATGACTTTTCCGTCGGTAGTCGAAGTGATACTGGTCTCGCTTAAACAACTGGTTTGTGTCGTGTAGCGGGACTGTCGTCGCCCGCATTTCAGAAAACCCTCAAGAACGTAAAGCAAACATCCCACACGTTCTACATTTGCTCTCAAGTTCGCATTTATAGTTTCTACCGTTGTATTAATTTCGCTTTTTACATTTCATTACGGCCTAAGACCGGTCAGTGACCGGTTCGCCAATCCCGTTATTCGTTTCTCGGTATCGCGATCAGTATGCCACCTGAAATTGATGAAATTTGAAATTTCCAATACTTGACAAAGCTTAGAAATAAATTCTGAGCAGGTAATACATTTGACAATAACACTGATCCAAAATCAGTATGAAATTATATCGATATAGAAATAAGATACGAGATTTTATTCATATAAGTATTACACTTTATTAGAAAATGTCACATAAAAATGTTTAAAGTTAATGCAAATGTTTTATTAAACATTTTCACACATATAAAGTATTATAACAATAGACTTTTTTTTATAAAAATGTATGACACTGGTAGCTTAAATCTATAATCTCAATCTCACTATAATTAATTTCCTTGGCAGCAAAATTGAATATTTTAGCCTTTGGCTATATTTGAGCAATAAAAAAATATTATAAAGTATAATATTATTTCTGTAAATATTTTTTCCCAAAGTTTGCAAATATTATAGCGTAGAAATTAAAAAAAAATTAAGTAACAATAATAATTAGTAATTTCTTTTACTCTAGACAGTAGTTTTTTTTTTCTATGATAAAAGTAATTCTGTACAGATATAATAGTAATATATGTATATAAAAAAATTCTCTCATTAATTCATCTCTCCATTAAGAGAGAAAAATGTCAAGTAATCACATTCAATTATGTTCGCAAAAACATCCATCCTTTGAATTTTTCAAGATCCAATCCATATATCGTGTAACCCTCGTGTATACACCTGGATATCCAGGTCGTGCGCATCCGTTGCCCCAGGATACAACACCGATGAGCTCGTATTTCTTATCCTCGCGCTCCGCTATCAGTGGTCCGCCACTGTCTCCCTATAATGCAAAACGTTTCTATTATTTAAACAGTCCTAATAACACAGTGTAATAAATATTGAACTTACATTCAAGTGTATTACCGCATACTTCAATATTATATATTTAATAAAATTTTATATACATACATTTATTGCAACAAGAATTACCTGACATGAGTCTTTTTTTCCTTCTAAGTAGCCAGCGCATAGCATGTTGTCAGAAATCATTCGGGGACTATAACTGGTATTGCGACAAGCTTGAAGACTCATGACTGGAACCTCGACTTCTTGGAGAAGACAAGACGGTTTTCCTTCCTCTTGCAATGTTCCCCACCCTGCTGCGATTGCATTTACTCCTACGTACTCGTTATCTAAAAGATAACTTTGTGTTGTGACAAATAATTGATTACGCAAGTGGATTAATTGCAATATCTCTATATAGCTGATGGTAGTAAAATATTTTTATTGCTATTTTGGTTAAATTACTTATTTAATATAATTGCATAAATACGCATTAGAAGAATCTTAGAAATAATATATTTCCTGTTTACAAAATAAAACATAGATTATGAAAATTATTGTATGAAATATTAAAAAGTTTTTAAATATGAATCTTTCATAGAATTGCTAATAAATAGTGTCTACAAGTGTCGTGTTGCGTTGATAAATTGAGGAAAAATCGTGTATGCAAATTCAAAGCCTCGATTACTAGGAGAAATTTTCTTTATTACGCAGTTATGCGCTGCGACGTTGCATTACCCTCCAGAGCAAGTACCCGTATACTGACTAATTTATGACTCACAAAGCTATCGCGTAATCGTCGCATAACAAACAACCCGACGGCGGCCAGTCGCGTAATATTGTTTAATAATACGCCACGGAAAACTGCATTAACCAAAATTAACAATTGCTATGCTAATAGCGAATGCTAATAGCGAATCATTTAATATCGCCTGATAAAATTATAATAATGTCGAAATTGTAATGTTTATCGGGAGCGAATATTAATAATACTTAATAAGATTGTGGCTGTAGCAAGCGCCTGTCTTTACCAAAATTTATTGCATCATTATAATTGTCTAATTCCACTTAATGAAATTGATAAAAAATTTTTTATGAAGATGTCTGTAATTTATGGAAATAATTGTTATTTTATCATATCTTGTTAAAAAAATTCTTATTGCGCTTACCATACACCGATGGCAAGCATATTGGCCGTATCGTATCGCTCAATGGCACTCTCTCATTGAGGCGAAGTAATGCGATATCGTTGTCGAAATTCAGAAAGCTAAAGTCACCGGTCATGACACGTACCACATATCTGGTTTCCGCTCCTTTTTCGATACATCTATCATGCTCCCCGAAAGTGACTTTGATCATAAACCACATAAATCTGAAAATAAGACTAGAAGAACTGATCACATTTGCCTAACAAGTGAAATTATGCTTACAAGAAAATTTGGTCAAAATAAATTAAAGGATGATAAATTAATCGGATAGATAAACATGTTTTATATTTTTATGGTTTTTCATTAAATAAAATGAATTGGTGTAATGATATGTAAATAATTTAAAAACGACAAATTTTTTTGCATGATAACTAAAATTTGCAATCATCCATAATGAAATAATTACACATATAGAAGAGAAAAATGTTACATGTATAGAAGCTAACGGCATTAAATATTTCCCTTATAGCGTGATACTAATCGAAGATGCAAATATGAAGTTGGACCTGTTTGCGCATCCAGTAGTTGGTGTCAATAACACGATTAGTAGCGATTTTATGGTTATACAGTTATACTAATGTATAAAAATAGTATTATGCGCACTTCCAATCATTTTATTTATGCTAGAAAAGTATAATGGAGACATTTTCACGCGAAGATTAATAATTCATTTAATTAATAGTTTTTTGTTTTATATTTCTATTATGTTATTGTGATATTACTAATTTCTAAAATAATATATTGTATGTTTATTATAGATTTTAATAACTTTAAAAAAATATACTTTTCTCGTGAACAATCACTAAAGTACAATAAATTTTAATCATTAGAATTTCGATACAGAAAATGATAAAACATTGAAGGAATTTAAATGGAAATTATATAACAGTTAGTTAAAAGTAGGTTTTAATTTCACTTACATTAAATATGCAAATTTTATAAGCTATATTTACCCCTTGACGCAGTGTGCAGCTGTGAGCACGTAGCGATCGTTTATAAGAGTACCACCGCAATAAAATTTGTTTAAATACGATAATCTAGCCATCCATGGAAACTCATTCATACTCGTCGTTTGACCTCCAACTATACGACTTTCTTCATTCCGTAATCCACAACCTGTATTGCATTAATCATTATATATTTTTTAACACTTGTAATAAAATCAAATTTAACACAGGTATACTAAAGTTACTCACTGCAATAGCAGGGCGAAGGTGAGTCATTAGAGTAAGGTGGTTTATTACCAAAAAGTCCGAAAAAGTTTTTTGTTTTCTCGTCGAATTTCTCAGCCTAAAATTAATATCTTTGCAAATCAAAATCAAAATAAATACAACTAAATCAATGTATTTTACTGGTAAAATAATTTAAAAGAAATTAATTAATGATTATTCGTTTTATAAATCTTAGATGTAAGATATACATATTCGTTCTTATTTATAAACAAGTAATTTTTAATTAATATTAAAAAAATCTTTAAGAATTGATTAGGAAATTATAATAATGTACTATTATTGAACTTTAAAAGAAATTATTCTTGCAATTTACTCATGTGTATAATTTTTCCCTACTGCAAGTATCAGTTAAAGCAATAGATTTAACTTATGTCTGTCTTCTTAGAAATGCTTTAACTCTAAATCGACGCTAAATTTGGAGCTGACTTTAAATTTAAATTAATTATCTTTACAAGATCCAAAAAATTCTAGTAAAAGTGATATGCAAGTTTTCCACTAACATCTTACAAAGAAGAAAAATAAAGCGGTTCCGAGATAAATGTTACGTGAGAAAATTAATAGAAGAAAATTTATCTTACCTGACATTTTTCCGTTATCAAAAGCAGAATAAATAATAAACCTAGGTAACACAGAGACTTCATGTTCGGCGATCTGATATTGATTTTTTTGCGCACCGATGATTATACACTTTTTACTTGATAGTTTCGGATCTTCGTGGATATTTGGGTGGAAGAGTCGCCACGCGGGCACCGTCAGGAACGAGTCATGGACATGTCCCTGACTGAGAGCGACTATCGCCGGCGTCCTACGCCGACTGTAGAGGACTGTGAGGTCGAAGAGGTAATTGCTATTCCGGAAGGGAAGGCGGGTATAGCCGACCGGCCGGTACCTGACCAGTTCACGTTCATGTTCAGGGTCGAATCACGGATGACTGTTATTGACCGTCATCAGGGCCACGACGATATCGAGAAATTATCATATTTAGAAAGTTGCTTCGATGTTGCGATATATGAACTTTGGTATTAATAAAGATGTGAAAATAATGTCTTCAGATTCTCTCCTTTATTTAACAATAAAATTAACATACTATGCTATTTTATTAATCACTTCAAACAAAAAAGCAGATTAAATTGAATAGATCAAAACAGATTGAAGCGAAAAAAAACGCACAAGTAGAAATGTAGTATCACAATGAAACATTTATTATACAATTATATTTCAATACAAAGGATTTTATTAATTTCGATTGATATTTTCAATAAACTGTGTGTTATAAACTTTACAATATAGCCAAGTATAAATATATTTCTTAAAGCAATAAATCTTAAATAAATTTAATTGATGCATTTGCGTGATTTCGCGACACATTTCAATATGCCAGTGAGAATGCATAATGCCAGTAAAGGAGACGGCAAAAAGGAAAGGTCGCATACGACCGCTCATCTGTTTTATTATATGCACATACGCATTTGGTGCGTCATTCGATACCGTTCGACAGATATCTCAACTGCGTGCATTTTGTATTCGCCGATCAATTCGATTTTGGGGAACAAAAGATCGTCCTAATTAATGTAACAATTAAATTCTGGTATTTCTGGTATTTTTAACGTTTATTTACGTTGCCATCGTGCCAATATCATATTATTTCTTAGAACTAGTTCTGAAGGTAAAATCAGGTTTTGCCACTGCATCATCGTTATTATTGGCCATCGATTTTTATATCTCTACAAAGAAATACAAAGAATAAAATATGTCAACATTCTACTATTTCGAATTTTCTTTGTTATCATTTGCAGTATTATGTGCAAAACTAATTATTGTTGTACGCTAAAGCAAAAGGGTATATTTATATAATGTTATTTATGAATCTAATCAGTTTAATTAGTTTAAATTTAATCACAATTTATATTAATATGAATAATATATATCTCCCGCTCACATACGAACAATTCAAATTTATATGCATTACAAGTACATCATAATATTGCATGTAACAGCCAGTGTAAAGAATTGATTAACACAAATCACGTTATTTTCTATTATGTACAAACTATTAATTACGCGTGCAGAGGTGCTTTTGCATACAAAGTGCATTTGCATATATCAACTTCAGCACAGTTTGACACTGAACCGTTACTGGTCGTTGAATATTCCGGAAACGTTCGACCGCTATTCATACAGTTGGTTGTGTGCAATAGAAACGTGTGGAGTAAGCTAAGCATAGTTCCACTATCAATTTATTTCGATCCTAAATTTAATTTATTAATTCTTTATTTGCATTAAAGGACATGTTATACAACATATCTCTCATACTGTTCATTCTCTCATACCATTCATATATGTAAGCAATAGCTAATTGATGGCAATAATAATGCACTACTCCACAAAAAATAGAGAACACTTTTCAGACGTTAAAAAGTGAACAATTTTCAAACCGCTAAAAAAATGGTAAAAAATTATCACTGACAAAAAATTAAAAAAACGTAAAGGTCGTATTTTAATCTGCTTTTGGCCGTTTTTAAAATTGTTGACCTTCACAGATCTGAGTTTAAAGAAAAACATATTGTTTTTTTCTTAAAATTCGTACTTTTAACATTCTATAGTTTGATTTAAAAAATTTTATAACAAATGTCAAAAATTACAATATTTTATTTGCCGTTTTTTAAATTTTGCTACAAGTTTTTTGGTCGAATTATGCGACTTTGAAATAAAGCCTGCATTTTTTACGTTAATATATAATTCTGATGATAAACGTTATTTTTTACAAAATGTAAGATAAACTTTAAAATGTTTTTTAAATTTTTTATCTGCGTTGATTTTTTGCCGAGTTTCAGCGATTTAAAAATTGCTTAATTTTTAGCATTTAAAAAGTGTTCTCTATTCTGTGGAGTAATGTAGTTTCCAGATAAGGGAAACAGTATTTAATAATATATATAATAATTAAATTTAGTTTTTAAATAAGTCGTTTTAAAATGTTCATGCAAAACATGACTATTGTAGCAGTTAATTATAATTGTAATATCTAAAATTTTATATAGGTGAAAGCAGGTCCTCAACTGACGCAAAAACAGCCTTCTTTCATGTTTGCGTGAATCCAATTGAGATATCGGGACACTCTCGTGTAAACTCCGGGATAACCAGCTCTACCGCAGCCAACACCCCACGAAACTATACCTATTAGATATATATACATATATATACATATATAACATAAAATACGATCATCAGGGTTTCTATCAATTTTCAGTGTTTTTGCAAATAAATATATAGTGTTATCTATAGAAGAAATACATATTTTATGAAATTTGTTTCATCAAGTTTATTTCACAGCATACAAAACTTGAATTAATTATAAATAAATATTATATGTTATTAAAATAAGAAATAATTATATGAAATATAAACAAATGTTTTACCTGCTATTTCAAGTTTATCGGCTTCCTGGACGAGCAAAGGACCGCCGCTATCTCCTTGGCAAGAGTCCTGATTACTTCGGCCGGCGCAAATCATATTATCGGTAATTCGATTTGCTCGGTATTTCATCTTTCGACATTGTGCCAAACTGTATATTGGCACTTGTATCTCCTGCATTTCTCCAGGCAACATGCCTCCTTCCATTGTTCGACCCCACCCCACCACTGTCCCTTCCTTCCCGGCAGGATCGCTTCCTGCATTAACATATCGACAAACATTTAACATGCCAAAGAAGATTGTGATTGATTACTTTATTGCATATTACCTGGTTGAGGTAAACAGACCGGGCGAACTTTCTTTGAGAATTCCACCGATTTGCGTAATTTTAATAAGGCCACATCGTGATTGTAAGAATTTATATCAAAATTCTTATGACGTATCACAACACTCACTGCTCTCATAATAGGAACTCCATCAGTATTAACATACTGATTGTAATCGCCGAGTACTATACGAATCTTCGATCGTTTCAATCTAAAATATCAAAATTAATTTAACATATGTGCATACATATGTATATTCTCTCCAAAAAGTTACCTAACTAATTGAGTTTGCGACACTAACTTGTCAGACCTTGTAAATTTATTAAATGAAAATGTACCTTCGTACACAATGTGCAGCAGTAATTACATAATCATTGTTGAGTAGACTAGCACCACAGTGGAAACGACCGTCGTACACAATCCTCGCAACCCAAGGATACCTGTTCGGTATTGTAGGACGTCCACCAACAATTCTATTCTCTTGATTAAACAAGCCGCATTCTAGGACCAATGCATTGCGAGAAATAACATTTTTGCGTAAAGATAATTGAGTTATTGCGGCTCGCATTAACGTTCAAATGTTAATTAACTTAATTTACTTAATTATATATAAAAAAAAATCTTACCGCATGTGCAGTTTCTTAGTTTTTCTTCGTCACTGATATCAGCAGCATTGACAATATCGATACCGAATAGTTCATCAAATAAGAATCTTCCGATACGAGTTTGAGAATTACCTGAAGAATTTCCCTAAAAGAAAAAAGTGTACAAATGATTGGCATCATTCAAGTGCGCTCACTTTCTACCGCATATAGAAGATAAATGATGGGAGAAAGTAACTATGACTTTGAGAATTATAGGTCAAGGCCTAAGTCGCGTTAAATTATCTTCAGTATTGGCTAAGTAAATATCTCAGGTGCATAAGCGTTGCATGCACGTAATATTTACATAGATCCTTTAATACAGCTTAACTGATTGCAACTCCTGCTTAAAATTAAAAGGTTAACATATTATATCTCATTAAATATACATATATATTAACTAAAATTGCATTAAATATTATTACTTAAAATTTAAAATAATTTATATTCAACTGTATGAATGATGTTACATCAAATCAGACAGTAAATAAGCCCCCCCTTCCCCCCATACAAATATCTTTTGTTTTTTCAAAATTTTGTGCACTTTAATATAACATTTAAATATGTATTTACATAAAAATTTAAAATGTTATAATTATGATTTTTTCAGGTATCAATTATCAAATTTTTTAAATACATACAAATGTCAAATTTTTTAATCCACGAATTCTGAAATATAATGTATGTATTAAAACTTCTGATCGGTTTAAAATTCAGAAATTGTAGTCATTTAAAAATGCATTTATTACACTTTATATTTGATAAAGCAGATTTTTAAACATCGTATAATTTCATAATGAGATTTTGTTCAAATATTTTTTCTTAAGATTACTTTTTACTTTTTCTAAAAATCATTCCTTTTATAAAGTTTTTAAAATAAAAACAAAATTATTGTAATATTTTTTCATTTGTTATCTCTTAAATGAGATTAGGTAAAAATATAACATTTGGTGACATATTGAAACAAAAAGAAATTCAATATTTTTCAGGCAATGATATTCCGAATCAATACTTACAATAGAACTTATTGATGTTATTATACTTTCTTGACGAAGTCCATAGCCTTTGATTGGTATCGATAGATAAAAGGTTATAATCAAAATCAAGATTAAGAGCTTGTAGCGTAACACATAGCGTAAAAGCATTGTTCCATTTGTTATTCACGCTGCACGAATATCGTTCAATAAGCAGAAATTACAAATGCGTTTTTTCATTCATTGATGAAGCACTACACACCACATGTTCTGCTGGATTTCACACAAACATGCATTATGCACTTGTACGGCAATATTCGGCGACAATTCTATTCTTTGACGCCTTCCTTTTCGTCTTCCACGATTCACACAGAGAAGCTGCGGGATGGTCCGCCGAAGATCACCGTCGCTCGTGTACGCTTTCACCTTAGCTCTACAAAGAAGTTGAACTGACCGAGAGCCAGCCAGTCTTTATGGTTACGAAGAAAGTTCTTCTTTCACTGTCGCACTGCTAGCATCGCGGTCCCATTCAGTACACACCATGTAAACGTGTTGAATTCTTTCAATTCGGAAACGGGGAGATGGCCGCGTGCCTTCCTCTTCGTGTCAGAATGCAAAGCACGTGCGTCAGTGAAAGCTTTCGCCGTATGATGCATTAATTTATGTTGCTTTTTTTCAAAATATGATTTTCTTATATGCCTTAATTTATACGAATATTGTATCATTAAAGACTTTACAGTGCAATCAGAACAGATGATTAAATATGCAGGCATCTTTGTCAAATATCATCATAATGCGTCGTAATGTACAAAAATTTCTAATATTGTTTCTAATCTATTTTTTTAATAACATTAATATCTTTAATAATATCTTTATTTAATAATATCTTTTTTCTAATATTTTTCCAATCTGAATAAAAAATAAGCGCTGTGTTTAGAATTGGATGTATATTTTTTAGAAATATCTACAAGTCAAAGCAAAAGATAAAAAAAAATAAATTGATTATAGGAAATTCACTCATACATTGTTTCTTCATATCAATTATCTTTATTATAAGATATGTAATCTGTTATCTAATGCAAAACCTTGATGCTATCTTCGTTACATAAGTTGTATGTCATTATTTTTATTAAAAATATTGGAAAAAATTTAAACATTACTTTAAAAATTATTAAATGCTATAGATCAAATTTTCTTTTCTATTTTTATTCATTATATTTAATGTATTTTAATTCGGGAAGATTCACCTGATACTGATAACGATCCGAAAGTTTCACTAACCCACATTTGCCATTGAAAGCAAAACGTCTCAGACTGCTGGCCTAGTTATGCGCATTGATCGATTTGGTAAATATTTCGACATTTCCGTTTGTATAATATGTTTTTATAATAATTGTTTTGATGCAGTGTATCAGTTTTTCTTTTCTTTTCCGTTCTTTTTGTAATTTAAAAAATTATAACTTAAACATTTTGTAGTCATAAGTAGTATTTAAAAATTCATTAAAGTTAACAACATAAAGTTAATAAAAATTCATTAAAGTTAACAACATCGCTATTTTAAAAGAAATTAATATTAATATGCACAATACTTTTAATAAAAAATATTTCTTTTATTCAATAAATAACAATAATCAATAAGAGTTGAGGGCTCTTCTATTATTTTATAATAAGATAAATAATATAAAGCAAATAGAGCCGTAACTGGATCTCAGTGTTCAATCATTTATTTTACATTAACGCTTATAAATATGATCATTAACGCTTATAGATATGATCAAACGCTTATAAGTAGATATGATGAAATGTTTCGGCCATCGGTTTTGGCCATCTTCAGTGTAAAGAAAACGAATACAATTGAAAACGCAACTCGTAGAATGACAGTAGTATGTGAATTTCCATTAATTGGCCGCATTCGGATTGACAATCGAGACAAGAGACTTATCGACTTTTTCTGAGTGTCAACAGATACACATATTATAAATATTTAAGTAATTATTAAATCTGTGACTTTATATATTTTTTAATTGCTTACAATATGACAACAATTGCTGAATTGAGATCGACGTTCAATTACGTACGGACAAATAGGTTCAGATTTTACACATTCTGTTGTTGAAAGACTTTAGAACGATTGCCGCGAGTAACGAAGGCGCAGTAGCAGTGTAACAAATGAATGCAGCGAACAGTTGATCAACCGTTCAGTGAGTAATGACGAAACTGTTGCAGAGCGCTGCAATTTATGTAAATATAACAAGAAGTTTTGTAGATCCAACAAGAAAACACTTAATCAGATCTTTATAATAAAGTTAACCAAACGGTGTAGTTATAAAATGTAAAATCTTGTTACGATAACCAGAAATTCTGTTTTGTTTAACAAAAATACATTCTACCACCTAAGGAACACACTAAAATCAAGAAAAAGTCAAAATGACTTTATTTTGACTCGAAATGGTCACGTATTTTCCGTTTGACGAAAAATTGATGTTATCGTATACTGTTTAGTGACAGAAAAATGACTTTACGTTGACCTTTGCAAATTTATTATGTGTGAAAGTTTTCTGGTAGTAAAAAATTCTCAAAATTATTATTTGCAAATATATGTTTCTTTGTATCATTCCAATGCATCAATGGATGATTTTTTAAATTTAATAGCCTTTTCTCTATCATATAATTTTTATACGTAAGCATATTTTTTTATAGTTTCTTTTGATGTATATCGTGTGTAATTAAATTTTTAATAAAATTTATTGTCAAATAATGCAATTAGAAAAATTATTATATAGAAAAGATGCGACGTATGCGAGTGTGCACTAATGAGGTTAACATATTTGATTTTACCGCATGTTCATATATTCACTACGACAGCCAATCGCATTTTATTTTGTTACTTTTGGAAAAGTTTTTGATTGGCTAAGCATGATGTAATTCGGTGTCCCGGACTCTAACAAAAGCCTTGTGCGGCTTTTTATATATTTGTATACTTCCATAATTGTAGCATGTCACAACGTGGTTGTATTAGTTTCGTGCAATAATATTAATATTATTAAATATTAATAAAAGAAAGTGCAAAATACTTGTTATCGAGAATCGAAGATACCACAAAACCGATAAGTATAACTGTGCATGTATTTGCTTTGTTTGTGTGTATGTAGAACAAAGGCTGAACTATTATAACCTGAAATAATTTTAACTAATTAATAAAATTATTATTAACTCGCAGCAAAGTTTAAAATTAATAAAGTAGTTCGTCATTAGTGCTAGCATATGATATATATACAAAATATTTTTACTAGTAACATTTTATTTATTATTTAATTTGTTGTAATAATAATTCTATCAATTAAAATTATGTTGAGTTATAATATGTAATGCCCATTTTACATAATCTTCACACGAATTTAAAACAAAATTCTAGCTATAAATTTCATGTATTTGTAGTACATAAATATTATATATATATATATATATATATATAT